ATTTTGAGTTGTTCAGAGTGACGGCAGAATAGAGTAGCACGTGACATAATGGAAGAGAGCAGAAGCGATTATTTACCATATGGCTGCTGTATCTGGTGGGCTGGTTAGTGTCCAGAATGCAGTAGGACATGAACTGCACAACCTTCTGAGCTACCAGCTGCAGACACAAGAAGACAAACACCAAGGTTTCACTTAAACTCACGAGCTCAGTAAATGGACAAAAATGCTGAAGGCTGCCAAATCTGACATAAACCCAGCACAAGTGAAGGATCTGAGCCTAAAATTCCTGGGAGAGCAGCAGAGAAACCTTACCTTGAAGCCTGCGACTGACTGTACTGTCACTGAACACGGGGACAAGCCCTTCGCAACAAAAAACAGATTGTGGTGCTGACTGAATGAACAAGAAAGTTTTAATATCAGACTTAAAGAGCACAGAGGAGAAAACACTCACATCAGGACTCAGCGGAGTCATTTCCCAGGTGTTCTTCACCCAGAGCTCAACATCATTTCCACAAAAGGCTGGTACAATGTTCAGTGAGTCCTTAATAACGATACAATATATTTTCAAGTAAATAACAACCTGCTTAGAAATGGCACATTCAATTTTTATATCACTAGATGACAGACATATCTCAGTGCAGTGTCTGCTTTTAATTTAAATAGAATATAGTACCAGCATATCATTGCTCAGCTTATAAGCCATTTAAGGTTACCTTTCCTATAGAACAGGTCTATACATTGTTCTGTTATTAAACAAACTAAATAGCCTTATGTTACTTATCTTTACACAACGGCTTGTCGTTTTTGACACGGTCGCACGTTTACAATGCCTCCCAAGACTGCCAACCTCTACCCTGAAAGCGTCACCACCCCTCCCCAGTTTAAAAACTCCTCTCTAAACTCCAACAGGTGGAAGCAGTTTCATGCAGCCAGTCAGTCCATTGCAGTACCTAACTGGCAACAACTGAAGAGCAATGAATGAGTTCGGCCCAGATTGCAGACCACAATATTGTATTGTAAATACCTGACAGAAAATAATACAAGTAAACATAAAGGAACATAGTATTTCTTCAGAAAATATTTAGTATAACACAATTAGACCCTGCAACATTAATTCAATCAATGCTGAATTCTCAGATTGTTCAAAGCATTGCTATACAGTTTGCTATATTGCTATACATTCTGAAATCCACTAGGTGTCGCCCTAGGACCGAAAAAAGGTTCGAAGCCACCAAACAAGTTGAGGAACAATATGAAAAATACCTCAAAAGATTTATGAAGCTTCATTGGTCCATCACTAGCACCAACCCATAATAGTCAGAGATCCAGAAGGAAATACAAAAGCATGGAAAAACATCCAACCTTGATATATAGTGGGCAGGAATCACTCACACCACCCAGAACCCTGCTTAAATGGATAGGGTGCGGGGAAACCCATCCATCATTTCTGTAACCATTTATGCTATTCAGAGTCATGGGGGGCTCTGGAGCCTATGGGCAAGAACCAACACAGAATGGGGCGCCAACCCATCACAGGGCGCACACACATTCACACCTATGGGCAATTTGGTAACTCCAATTAACCTCAGCATGTTTTTGGCCTGAACAACACAGTCAGAACATGCAAACTCTACACATGGAGCCATGGCGGAGACTGAAACCCTACTACTAAAATATAATATAATGGAAATGAAAAATAAAATAAAAAATATTACGTTTCTTTGTTCTGCGGGGTACACGACGTAACACATACCTTTTTCTTGCTCCTCGGTATGAAGTAATGTTTTTCCATCAGCTTTTTGTGCTCATACAACAACAGCGTGTTTGTGGAGGCAGCCATGTTTGTTCCGAGATGTGTAGGGGTGAATCTCAATATGCATACTTGACCATTCTTGTGTTCTCGTGTACCTGTTTTATGTCATCTTCCATTGCTGAAGACCAGTTCCAATTCTAAGAACACAAATACATGAAGATAGTAGAAATCCCCAGGTGTTGGTCTTGCTCTGTCCCAAATATCAATATATCGTTTGCATTCAAGTAATAGTGATCGAACACCGAGTTGCCTCTCGTCTGGGCTTTCGTTGGCAATCACCAAAAACTTTCGGAAAAACTTTTTTCTTTTGCATGGTCTGAATTTCCCAGAAAAAGCACACCATCAGAAGATGTCTAAAATGAATTAGCATTTTGGATGTGTGTACAGAAAAATATATGAGTTCAGTATAACAGTTTTATCATCTACTCTTTCTCTGGTGTTAGTATAATTTATTGGGAGTCCAAAATGTTCCCAAACTACTGATTTAAGTGATGTGGGAGGGTCATTGAACTTTCTAGCATTAGCTGTAACCACGCCAAAGCCACAATTAGCATGTTTTCCATGTTGAACATCTACTTGTTAATTTAGGTCTCACCTATGTGAAGAAATGTATTTGTTTCATTGCAAACTGAAAATGCTGTAAATTGAAAGGCACACAAATACATGTACTGTTACATTAAATGTAGACCTGAAATCAGCAAAATACATATCGAATTGGCAAACCTGTGGCGATTTGGGCAGTCACTGCCGATTTCCACTCCTATTTTGTGTGTCCTAAAAGCAGGAGCAATGCTGGAAAAAGGGGACAAAATTAGACCACAAGGAATATAAAAAGGAATGGAAGAGTGTACTTTAGGGCATTTACAGTTGGTGGTAGCTTCGAAAATGACCTGTGCCAAAACAAAACCACCCACAACTAGCTAAGGAAAGTAAAACCTAATCATCTCTAAACAAACACAATTAAGCTTAAACAACACCACAAAAGAACCCCAAAAGAAAAAGTGGCAGTCAATCCCTACAACCAATGCATAATCACAAATATATACAAAAGAGTGACCAAAGCAGAGGGGTGTGGTCAAACTGAGAGTGAAATACACGAAAAGGCAACTAAAATCAAAGGAGCAAGAACAACAATCATAATCAATTAAACAATCCAATGGAGAGAGAGATAAATATAGTACACATATAACACAAACGAAAATGAGTGAGAATTAGAGTTTTCCGGCTAAAGGCTGTTAGGTTCACTTTCAGGTGGTGAAACAGCTTCAGAAATGGAGCAGCAGATGGGATGTGGGCTGGAATTCTGGAGTGGCTCATATCCAAAATATGAAATGGCTTTGCCAAATAAAGAACAGGACCCAACAGCCATTAGATATGAATAGTTCAGGTTGAGAAAGTCAAAATCCAGAACAAGATTTTGTTTCAACCAACCAGATGAGTATAAAAAGTCACTGCTACCTTATTTAGTTTAATGTAGTTTAACTTTAATATCCATCCATAGTCCAACCCGCTTATCCTACTGGGTCATGGGGGGTCTGGAGCCTATCCCGGAAGCAATGGGCACGAGGTGGGGAACAACCCTGGATGGGGGGCCAAACATATTTTATTCACAAGTGCAGGACAGTCTTCAGACGCCATGCACAAATCAGACATAGTTCCAACAGCAAATGAAACTAGCAATGTCATGTATGTCACAATCCTCAACATGACTGTTTTTTGGCAAGTGAAAATACTGGGAATGAGACCTTACCTATTACAGTGGTGCTCACTGTGTGTCCATCCTGCAGATGATGACTTGGCCAAGCCCACCAAGATCCCCGTTCTTCAACACGGGAGTCCAGATCAGGATGCCAGTCCATCCATCACAGGGCACACACTCTCAGACACTGCAGACAACTTTACAGATGCCAGGCAACCTACCCACATCATTGGACAGAGGAAGAAAACCCAAACAACACAAGAACACAAATGCTACAGACAGAAAGCAGAAAGGAAATTAAATCCCTCGACTCAGGAGGCAACCACTGAACCATTCCAATGCTTAAACAAACGACTTGTCCCTCTACATTTGTTATGGTTTTTCCAGTTCAAAAAATTTGACTGGATGCTGGGACAATATTCTTTTAATAACACAGTTCACACCATTAGGAAACAACAGCGAAAGAAATTAAAGAATCATGAAAAGACTTACAAAATGGCTGTTTTATTATGAAGACCGGAGGAGAAAACAACGGCCATGCAGTTTACCCATGGTGTCAAGAATTTGATGGCTTCCCTTCACAGTATCCCAGTGGCTTTCAACTACGTCCTCACACTCCACAGCCAGTCCACATATGCAAGATTGGCCTGGCTAATGAACGGCTTATTAGTAAGATAGGTGCGGCGGCTGTGGCTGGTGAAGAACAAGAAGCTTCTTGGCTGAGGAGGAAATCCAAGCTGAGAACCACTAAGGACGCCCTGCCCAGTCATAAAATATTTACACAACACACCTTCGGCAGCTTAGGGAGACATGCTTTGGAGTGAGATTAATTTATTCTTTTTAATAAAAAATATTTTTTTTTATTAGTGACAATTTGGAAAGAAAATGAAAGTGGAACATTCTAGTTCCTGTACAACAATAAGATTAGGACCAGACCAATAAATTAAAATGCGTGATTAAATCACGATCAGGTCATTCAATATATATAAAATTAAGAGCTTAAGTAAAAGTGGAATAAGGAATTTAGGAATGTGGTTTAAAAGAAAACACCATGAGCACAGCATAGGAAAACAAAGAAGTAGCAGTCTGAAGTCTTCAGTGTTGTTAATGGTATTTCAACTTAAAAGAATATCAGCACAGAATTGCTGCTGCCTTTATGTCAGTTTCAAACTGTAATATTATGTGCAGGGAGCAGAAGGTATATTAAATGTACCATAATTAATATTAACCAATGAAATGACTGTAGACTACAAGTAACTGATGTAAGGGTGGGGGATGCGTTTTTCCATCTGAAGTGACATAACACACATCATAAGTGTCTTCAGCATATTTATACTGACCTTATAATGCATACCATGCATTTTAAAATAAAACCAAGTCAGGTATGTGAAAATGTGAAGCTTTAAGTTAACATAAGTTATTACTCCAAGTAAAAGAAGGAAGTGGAGGCCAACTGACTAACCTATATACACACACACAGAGTCACACTGAAGTTACAGGTTTAATGAAGAATGCTATATCGTAGTAGAAAAAACAAGTCTGGAATTTTATTCTTACTCTGTGTTGCTGGAAACAAACTGCTGCAGAACCACAGGTGCCAGTCTCACGTTGGCATGAGCTGGGAAGACCCATAAAATAGAAGTTTCTTCACATATTGATTACTATTTGAACTGCCTAAAGCACAGATATATAAACGTGAGCAGGGAAGATCTTAAAATTCTGCATTTGCTGATGCATGTTTATGAAATGAAAACAAAAGCTATGCAAAAATTAACTTTCATTTGCTGTGCACACATGCAATATCTGACCTTGCAATACAGCAACTGTGCTTTTTTTGACAAATGATACGTAAACCACCCTTACCTTAAGAAGAAAGTCCACTCTTAGGCCTGTTTGCTTAAATATGAGAAACATTCCAATCCAGATCAGATTGTTTACACTTACATCTCTACGATACCTTTTCAAACCCAATCAACTATTAAACTTAATAAATACGCATTGTTGCTGACTGACCCCCACACTTCCTGAGATTATGGCACAAAGCCCTCCAAGGTCACTTACTTGGATAATTCTACTGAAACAAGTGCTTTTCTACCTCATTTTTTCCTAGGTAATGACCAACATGCTATTGCCCTATTCCTTTACTGTACACAAAAGCACATTTACAAACACACACAAAGAAACACACTAGCCTTCTATTAACAAAAATAGAATACTTTAAAATACAAATAAATTAATTAAGCAGCCACCCAAAACAATGCACTTTATACCAAACCATTCGACAACCTAACCACCGTGTCCCATAGCTTCTTCCAGGTACCACCCCTTAGCCGGCTAATCCTCAGAAGTCTAGAGGCGCCAGCTCCCCAAAGTCACAGTCAAAGAGCTCACTGATGCCCTCGCCATCCTCCATCCCAAAGTGATAGTCATGCGCCTGCGGGGGCGACAAGTTGATGAAGCTGTCCAGTGCCAGGGAGGAGAAGTCCTCAGAACTTCCATCCAATGAATAGTCGGGAAGAAGGCCAAATTCAGACATCTCACCCAGACAAGGGAACGAGTCTTCCACTAGGAGGGCATCTGCAGAAAGAATAATGGAACAATACACGACTTCCCCATTGGCACGATGTCAGATGTTTAATGATTTAAAAAAATTAAAAAAAAAAAGCAAGAAAGCGAGCAAACAAGTTAAAGACTCACCAGTTTCACTGGCAAGCTGCAGTGGAGAACAGCTCTGATGGGATGGTGCCACCCCTTTTTGGGGAAGACCTCCATGGGGTAGGTGCTGGGTACCTGATGCAGATTGGGATGGCACCTCTGTGACTGATTTGGTTGGGCTACAGTCCACAGGGCAACAGGGTTCTGAGCTGTCCTCAGGACACAAGAAGACGTCGATTGGTCCACGCAAGCTTTTCAAAGAGATCTGGTAACCCTATCAATAGAAACAGAAGACAAGTGAAACTCGGAGCAGAACTCTTTCATAACAGCACACTAGAACACACCCAACTCCACCTTACCTCAGACAGGTCAGACACCTGCATCTGTGTCTCTGGAGGGGCACGAACCACCATGACAATTTGGTCGGGGGGATCCACTGTACTCCGCAAGTCCTGGCACATTACATATGCAAGCTTGGCAGGCATTAAGAAAAATTCTATAGTTTTATTAAGTCAGAAAATAAACCCATATGGCTAAATTTCCTGGCTGCACAAACAAGTCGATGAAAACAGGATGAATTAAACTAATATTACCGTCGTCAAAGGAAATTAACCATCATAAACTAATCCAAAATGGGTCAAAAGAGATGGACTGACAATTAGATAGGAGACACCTTGAATTTCTTCATTATTAAATCAGCCGACTAGATGAGACAAGCCAGTTCTGAAGGATATTTTTTGTTCTGGGGGTCCTCTGTAAGCAACCTAAGCTGCAGGTTGCATTTAGCTATGAGCTCATCCAGTTCTTCCTCTGCCTCCCCCAGACTCAACACCTCCTTCTGGAGGCTGCGCATCTGGGTTGCAAACCCACTGTCCAAACGGGTGCCCCTGCAAGAAGACAAGTTCCATAAACGAAAACCGACTACCACAATCCTTTCTTCTGCCCCTTTCCATCCCCAAACATGTGAATACAAAAGCAACAGGCCCACTGTATTAACCCCATCATTAATAGGAGCTGTATGATCTGGCTATTTATATACAGGGGTTGGACAATAAAGCACACTGGTGTCTGAGGTTTCATGCTATACAGCTGTGGAAAAAATTAAGAGACCACAGTACATTTTTTTGTTTCACTCATTTCTCAATTTATGGGTGTGTGACTGTGAATAATTTATTTTTTTTTTGCAAAACTACAGCCTGATTCTTCTGTTTCTCATTAATGAAGGGCTCCTTCTTTGCTTTATGGGACTTCAGTCCTGCTTCTAGGAGCCTGATACACACTGTCCTAGCAGTGCACTTCACACCTGCACTTAATGTTTCCCATTCTGTTTGAAGGTCACTTGCTGTCACCCTACGATTCATGAGAGACAGTCGGAAAAGTTAATGGTCACATTAAAAGTTAATGGTCACAACGTCGCTTCTGCCATTCACTTGCCTGGTTTCTGGTCATTCCCAGTGTCTCCAGCTTCACCTTATTATTGTACTCTGCTGGCTTAGAATTGTTGAACCTGGAAGCAACCTGCAGCTCAGCACAGCCTTCTGCCAGCAAAACCCCAATTAAACCAGGATTTAAAAATGCAGATTTGTTTAAAAATGTAGAGTGGTCTCTTCATTTTTTTCATGGCTATATATGCCCGGCGGCCAGTCTTCACTGATTGCAGAGTGTGAAGACTGAATTAGCAGAGCAACAGCACAGTTGAACATAAAATATTCCAATCCACACAACATAATAGGAGACATGTCAGAGTTCAAAAGAGGACAAATTGTTGGTGCATGTGGCACATCTGTGACCAGAACAGCAAGTGTTGTATTGAGAGCCAGAACATCCAGGGTAATGTCAGCAAACCACGTCCAACAGGAGTACTAGTGGATGTTAGAAGCAGCTGCCTACAAAGGATGTCCAGGTACTAACCCATATTGTATCCAAAAAAACAAAACCACAGCTGCCCAACTCACAGAGTTAAATGTGCACCTCGACTGTCCTGTTCCCACCAACACTGTGTGGCGAGAGCTCCCCAGGGTCAATATTCACGGTCGAGCTGCTACAGCCAAACCGTCGGTCACTCATGCCAGTACCAAACATCATTTTCAAAGGTGCCAGCAGTGCAAATCTTGGGCTGTGGACGATGTGAAACGTGTATTGTTCTCTGATGAGCCCCATCTTCACCGTCTTTCCCACATCTGGGAGAGTTACGGTGTGGAGAAGCCCTAAAGAGGCTCACCACCTAGCCAGCTGTATACCCAGAGTGCAGCACAGGAGTGGATCAATGACAGTTTGGGCTGCAATATCATGGCATTCCCTAGGTCCACTACTTGTCCTAGATGGGCACATCACTGCCAAGGACTACTGAACCATTCTGGAGGACCAGGTTCAGCCAGTGGTTCAAACACTGCACCCTGAATGGCATATCATGGTTCAAGATGATAATGCACAAATACACACAGCAAGACTGGAGTCAGGAAATATTCTCCATCACCAGGATCATGTACTGACCCCAGCTGTTGTTCTGCGTTGTTCTATGATGAAATAACTGTTTTAATCTTCATATAGCTAATTTGTACTTCACTCACAATATAAAGATTAACATACATAGTAATTTCTTGTCATAGCAGAACAAAGGCACATAAAATAAGTACGCATTTGTGCCGTTACGACAAACTGCCGCTCATATCGCTTTATATGGCAAATGCATACTCGCGTACCAGTGACGTGCATCCTGGTACAAGCTATAGTCAGATATTCACTCATTTTTCAAGGAAAGCCTCTAGTTCTTTCAGGGATAAGCATGCAAATACTTTGCCAAGCACCCCAAAACTTACCCATAAAACGTTCAAACAAATTATTGGGGAGGCCAAGAAAAGAATTATACTACATCCTAGCGTTCGCTCCTGAATCTGGCAGTGAGTGTGGGAACATTGGGAAGAAACAGCTTTTCTGTCATAGGGAGCACCTTGCCTTTTAAGATGCCTTCCTATTCCCTGGCTGTCACACAACCTTGCACAGCAATAACAGGCCATAATGACTCCCACAAGACAACTACCCACAAAAAGTAGTTGTATTGGTCATTTGCTTTCCCCCAATAATTACACCTATAAGAAAAACAGTGAAGGATCCCTCAGTGGATCATAGTTTTCCACCACTAGTCTGGAGACTAGTTTCTATGCTCCGCTCACTTGGTTGTACAACTACATGTGCTGACCGTGTGGTTTCCGAATAGCATCCCACCATGGATTCACATTTCTCACAGCTCAGGATGGATGGATGGATGGATGGATCTTTTTAAGATAGTCACAGAAGTGCGGATTCATTTTTGTGGTCCTTTAAGCTGTGTGTCCGGAGTGCTTAGCAACTATCCCATGAAGTGTCCTCATATTGCCATCAGTGTCCTTCAACCCGCACCCACTGGCCCTCATTGCCGACAGCTTTTGCTTTAGGCAGATGCTGTTATGGTATAATTTTACAGGGATTATGGTTGATGCACCTGTATTCTGGGCACAAGCCTTATTGGAACTCTGGCAGTCGCCTCGTATGGTTTTGAAAATGCACATAGAGAAAGCGATATTAAAATTGTTAAAGGTCACACATTCTAACATTCAACCTAATACAAGTTACCTTTGTAATTGTGATTTATTTCAAAGTTATTTTTTATGTGGTCTTTCCATTGTTTTGTCTACCCCCTGAATATTTTGCACACAACATACAGTAATACGACTCAGACTTACAGCCACTGGATATTGTTTTTTGACTTCTTGGAGATAAGCTGTATACCCTCCAGGACATTTGTGATGTCATATATCCGTCGCTTCTGCACCTCAAGAACCTGCGACGCCCAGTTCAGATCCACCACTCCGTCAGAAGACTTTGACAGAAGGTCTAGAAACCGTTTTGTGGTGAGGTTCAGGGATGTGTCATAACGGGACTTCTCCGACGAGGACTTGGAAACTGGAATGTCCAGAACCAGCAGGGGGAAGAAGGAAAATAAAAGGTTTCCCAAAAGTCAATTCAAGCTTGAATAATCTGCCCAAATCAGACATCAAAAAAATGTGCAGGGTGAATTACAAATCAATACTACACATTTAAAATCTTATAAAAGTTAAAGATCTATAACCTTAAAAGGTACATTTTTTTTTATATTTCAAGTATGCTACCCAAATACACATTTGAAAGAAAAAAAAAAGTCTCTCTCCAGCCAGGTTTTACACCTTTACCAAACTGCCAAACTTCCATCTAATTTTAATGGATGTGAGATTCTGATTAAGGCCATTGCACCCACTCTCCAGCAGAACAACAGGCAGAAAACCCAAGCTTCCTCCTGTCTGAAGATCTGTACCTCTAGGTGGTGCAGGTGTAGATGCTGGCACGCCACTTACTGGCGTGGGACGGGAACTGCTCACATACTGGTGGTCACTGTCCAGATCAAGTTTCCTTTTCACCTACAGTAGTTAAAATTAATGGGGTCATTCATATTCTGTACATTAAAAAAATAAGTTCATTAAAGCCTTGTCGAATGTTTTGACTTGTCTCAGTACTATTCATCAATATTTATTTCAAACCTGGAACTGCTTAATTATATTTAAAAAATACAACAAGCATAAAATGATTTTATACGCATGTATACGATATTATAGTTTCCTTAATGTCTTATGTAATTTTATGTACCATCTCACAAAGTGATCAGCTAACGAACTGAAAAGAACAAAAGGAAGACGCTTAGAAAGACACCACGCCCAGATCTGAGAAGCCAGACCGCCGTTCAGCCACGTACCGGAGGTCGGCCCAGTGTCGGTCTGCGCTCGTCCTCCACGGGCGGGGGAGGCTGCGGGGTGGCGAACAGAAGGATCTCCGCAGTTCTGCTAGAGGCTGCTGCGTGAATGTCCACATTGTTCGGAGTGGAGATGATGACAATCTGGTGATCCTCGGTTAGGTTAATGCTGCCAGAGCTCAGGAGAGACTCGAAGTCGGCCAAGAGATCCTCCGAGGTCTGACCCGTGATCAGCGTCTCTGACATGGCACACGCCGCAAGCAGCTTCTGCCTGCCCCAGTCACTTTACTTTTGGCGCAAAGTTAAACCTTAAGTCTCTTAGCAATCAGCGAAGGCTCCTGCTTGTTTTACCAAAACAACGAAAAACACTAGAGACGTATTAGAAATTGGCCTGTTTGCCATATTTAAAACTGTACGCACAACAGTCTCAGAATCCCTAGCGGCGACAAGCTGTGTAGATTGAATTGATATTGGTATTTGTAAAACAAAGCAGGGAGCTAATTCCCACGAAACGTAGCTGCTAAGTCCCAATTAGCCTCAAGCTAACGCCAGCGTTAGGTATAGCTGCATTTTCCTAATTAAAGTTGATATAAAACGCATAGACGTGAAGTAATAAAATACAAATATGAATTACAACAATTTAGTTATTGGGCAATTACTTTACTTCGACCAACAAACAAACAAACAATCTAACTGAAGTTTTTCAGTTTTAAAATGCTCCTTGCGTTCTTTATTCGATGAGGTTGTGTTTTATATTCTTCAAAAAGTACGTTCTGGTTTTGGTAAAACTTTTGTTGCAGAGTTTTCCTTTGTTCGGCGATGTATTTTCAGTTTAGAATACATAAAAACATACAATCCAACAACAAGTACATGGTTTACTTTCTTAGCAAAGATTATTTAAATTGTATCCCCAATAGCATAGTTTCACCCACACAAACAGAATAGCAGTGTGGAACCAGTAATCAATATATATTCGACTCCTTCATACCGTATTTGTAGATTGGGCCTGGCGACCTAATTGTTACACTCCGAAAAATGTCATCAAAGTGTTCACTATTCTCCCCCGCAAACTTTCGGAAGCACATCCAGGAAGAACACAAAAAACAAACAATTGGATTTAAAACGTTTTTCAAATCTTGTTGTTTATGATATCCAAAATGCAACTCCACAAACACCAAGAAACAATCCTATCTGTGCAGTAGTCTTCAACCAGACAAGCTTCCTTCCCCAATAAAAGTCTGTTGTTATTATTGTCCCAGCTGATCTGAACAAGGCTTGGGGTTTGCGCGCCAAATCTTTTTTGCCGCGAATTCTGCACGTGTCAAAACTCGGTGCAACGATTGGTCAGAATACTAGCCCTTGCTGGCGAATAATTAACATGTGAATGAATTTCATTGGTCGTATTTAATGCCAATCAGGCAGTAATCTCGAGAGAAATTCTTGTTCTGTAAATACTATCATTTACATTGAATTACCAAATTTATATGCAGTTTAGGATTTTGAGTTCCTTGTGTCACGCTTAAATAAAGTAACTTCGATGAGATATATTATTATAGTTAGGTGTGTCACCAGACCATACTAGCTACGGAGTACGGAGTTGAAAAGGACCCTCTGGCGCACAATGGACGACTACAGTATGTTAGAGTGGGTTGAATATCAATTTAAGGAGATGCTTCATGCGCTTTCATTTATTTAGATTTCACAAAGATACTAGCCCTTGTGGTCATTTACTGATTTTCTTCGGACGATTAAATGGGAGCCAAACGACGTAAAAATATAAATATGTTGTAAAAGAAAGTGCCATTGTGTGTTCCAGTAATGCTGAATATACCTAAACGCCAAGTGGTCCTAAGGAATAATTAAGAATTTACTGAAATTTTTTAAAGCTATATATATATCTGGTTATATAGATAATAAAATGTAACTTTAATCCACAAACCTACATGCAATGTACACGAATTCCTGATATTTAGGGTATACACACTTTTAATGCAGCAGAGCTTTATGATTTTACCTTCATTGGTTTTAAACCATGACTGCGTACAAATGTCTTGCATATTTAAATACCGTGACTGATAGAGGAACAGATATCCCAGTCAGCTGTATTGACTGAAAAAGGTATTAAACAGACCCAGTTAGACATTTTGGCTCACTGCTGCACTATAACAAAGAGCAAAAGGCAACGACTCAATTTAGCAGTTTTAATATTATTTGGAGAATAATAATAATTTATTAAACAATTAGGAAAAAATGTTGAATTAGAGGTATAACAATTTCACAGTTGTCACTAATTACTTTTCGCAATAACTATTTTATACATTAAAGGCAACATATTTCATTAATCACTATATACTTCAGGCTAATTCAAAACTGCAGTTCAATTACTCGTATTAGCCTCCACCTTAGACAGTATATATACCCAATTCATCCACACAGGTGGGATTATGCAATTATCCAATGTGCATCTCTTTTCATCAACAAGGAGTAATATTTTCTGGATTTCTCTGAATCAATAAAGGTATATGTTTGTAGTGGTAATTAGGATAAATAAAAATCCATAAAATGATTCACCATTTCCCAGAAATCAATTTTAAAAGAGGAAGATGTGACAAGGGGTGAACTTTAAACCATTTTCAATAACAACAGTAAACATATAATTTTCAGTAAGTTCAATAACAGTAGTCTGTGCACACATTCTAATATAAATGTAATGTCTCCATTTCACCCCAGTTGCACCTTTTCAGTCTGCAAGAGGAAATCCATGCCCACATAGGGGGAATACTCATATCATACACCCATCCATTCATTTCCCAGAAAATGATTTCTAAAATTAAAAACTCGATATAAACAAAGGGAATGCACATTGACATGAAATAAACAGACATTCATGACAGTAGTCCCTTCCACATTATTTGTGTTTGCAGAATATATTCTTTTAGATATGCTTAACAGAAAGTGTGGGTAGCATTAAGCAATGTATGTTAAAGAGATCATTCTTCTACGACATGCTTCCAATATCTGATGTGTGTTCTCACAGCATGTAGTACAGGCACAAGTTAACCTGGTTATTGACTGGATGGGGCAGGCATTTTGTTGTAGATCAGGAAGTCCGAGATGCTGTGCCATTCATTGCTGTCATGATAAAGGTAGTTCATTGAGGACTGAAGTGATGGCTGCAGAGTGTGGGGATGGTACTCAAAGAGCCATAGTACAATGCCCCATACTAAAGCAGAAAACAGTGGAAAAGGGTCTCTTTTGGGCTGGGGAATATAGCCCTTTTCCACAGCCAGCCGAGATAAGGCAAACAGAATCCTAGACAGGAGGTACATATTTATCTGTGGAAAATTGAAAACAGGCAACAATCACATAATTTGTTAATCTCGAACAATAAACATACTCCAAATTTCGTAATGTGTTTGCCTGTTACCCACCTGACTGTTTATGTGATTGTTGTCCCCAAATACCAGCCAGCCACCAAGGCAAGCTGCAAGGAAGGATTGTGACTGCAGCCTTTTCCCTTGAATTCTCTCCTGTAACACCTGAAGTCCCTTGTAGGTGAACACGAAGTAGGCGAGGTTCCGCGAGTGGGTGTACGTCGCTTGAGCAATGGCTTTCAATTTGTCTTTAAGGCTATTCGATTATGTAATGAAGAAAACGATAGAAGTATGTCAACGTCATTGTTAGGCACCAGCTCGCTTAATCGTAATGCAGATGTCTCTTACAGCAAGTAAAATGTAACATAAATATCTACCAACGTAGGGGTATTGATTTACCTTCCACTTTTAAACAGGAACGTCATGACAAGGGCGTGTGGGGCTCGGATTTTTGCTCCATACCTAAGTCGAAATGCAATACAATTACACGTAATAAGTCTGTTTGCTCGAATGACCGCAGATATTTCGACGGTAATGAAAAAAGTGCTGCATTTCACTGTCAAAATAATGAGCAAACGAATATTGACTTGACCGAAGCCACCAATCTCAAATGGAATTAAATATCGTTGGTTAGCAGGTAGTCACATTATCTCGTTCAATTAAAAATAACGAACACATTTAATTTCATTAGCTATATAAGTGGCACTTAATGCATTTTACAATTTCAAATTAACTTTACAGACACCATTGGATATTAATGTATACGCGGGGACTGACATAATTGGTACGCATTTGAGGTATAATTAATCATCATAACAGCGCAAATACGCATAAAGTAAAGCTGCCGGACATATTTCACTTTTATACCATACTAATTATGTCAATTACTGCGCATATGTTTGTGTTATTAGCACGACCGGGTCTATCAGTATATGACTTAAGTACAAACTACTTAGCTCGCTAACGAAAATTCGATGTTTTGCAATCTTGTTGGCTGTATGATAACTCACACTGCACCATTTCGGAATCCTTTAACAACCGCGAGAACCGCCTTGTACTTTTCTTGTTTTAGCAACGTGTTCATTGTATACAGTAAAGTTTTAAAAATGCCAGAGGTTGACATAGTTAAATATCAGAGGGGGATCCTTTTCAATGTAACACCATATGTTAAAAAAAGAGGAGCAGTTAAAATAACTCAGCGTACTGGAAACATTGCGACTTTGGAATGGTTCCTAATACCCAACTCAATCATCCCCCAAATATGCTACATGAAGCCCTTGTCTTGCAAGTCAATAATTACGTCAAACAGTCAATTTGCATAGTAAATTGATGATAACTTAAATTTTGAAAACTTTTGCAATTTTACGTTCTTACACTTATTAAACTATATAATTATTCCTTACTGAAGTACTCAAGTTATATTAACTTACTCAAACAATAGGTCTACACACATACACATTTCACACACAAGCACACACACACAAATATATATATATATATATATATA